ATTGAAGCTTCAATCACCATCCACATTAATTTCTTACAATCATCAAATAAATGTTTGTATGTTTTAATTTCTTTCTGATTTTTCACACTTCCCCCTGCAAATTTTATATGCTCTCTTCTCTTAATGACATATAATTAATGAGTATGTGTTTCTTTACCTCATCAAATCAAGCATTCAATTACATCTTCAACCTTTTTTTTTTCTTTTTTCTTTTAGATGGTCATTAAATTTAATCTAATTTAAATATCTTTTTTTGTAATCCTGTGTTGTTTTTCATTCTCTAAAATTTTAGATTAAAAAAAATATATGAAATAACTTATTTTCAACGTTTGAAATTCTCCCATTGATGATATTATGACAAAAAAATAACAATAAATGAAAAATAAATGAAGAAGTCGAAAAGTATCACTAAAATATTAATAATAATATTTAATAATAATATAGAAAGTACTTAGGAAGTGTGACATTTGAATTTATTAACCCAAACAACTTCTATAAATGTTTATGATTTTTTAAAGATATTTATAGGAGGAATATTTTGATTGACACTTATATAAATTAAACTGATATACTTTCTGACATTTAAGTACTCCTTGATTAGAGGATTAAAGAATCATTCTTTCACAGTTCATTTCATGCTTAGACCAATTTTGGCTTCTTCCATAAACATGGAAAGTGGGTTTTGTTTAATTGGGGAAAAAATTAAATAAACTTTAGTGCTAAGAGTTGAAACCCTATTTAATTACTCTGAATTTCAATTTTATACCACCATTTTCTCCCTTTTGTGAGATGGCTAATGATATGTCAAATCCTAATCTCAATAATAAAAATAAATAAATAAATAAAATCTTGTAATACTTCTGGAGATATATGCGATTTTTTTTTTCTTAATATGGTAGTGAAGAAGACTTTAAAAGCCTTCACTGTACTTTGCCTTTCCCATTTTATTCCAGTTGCTTACCTTCAATGTATTATTATTTTCATGTTTAAATTTTATTTTAGTTAGTGAATTGTCGGGATCAATTATTTATTTTAATCTTTAAATTAGAAAAACAATTGTAGTTCTCGTGAATGTCTTGTTGTAAATTATTTTACATATGGATGGTGTGATTATGTACGTTAATGAGCTCACGTGGACATATATTGAAACTATATAGGTTAGTTGAGATAAAATCAAAAGTAAAGTAGACAATATCATGTTATTGTAGATATTTGGGGGTACGAGAATACTCTTGTCTTTAACATTGAGAACTCAAGATTGTCCCTTAAATATTATTTCGACCTCATTCTTTTTAATCCAAAATGTTCAAATGTTTTATTTTAGTCCTAATCTTTCAAATGTGTTGTTTTAGTCTCTTAAATGTTTAAATATTTTAGTCATTGACATTAATTTTAATCAATAATTTGGACATACATTTAGATCTCTCTCAAAACCCAACACCAAATCATTTACCATTTAGGTAACTAAACCAACCAACCAC